CTTCACTGCGGGCCCGACGGTCGGGTAAATAATCACTTCCGAAAACCAAATCATTTTCGATTTTCGCCGCTGTTGTTTTTGCCCCACTAGATACAATAATGTAACCCAACAAGAGTAGGGGTTACTTGTACTACTCTTGTACTTCTACTGTTTTACTGTTGTACTTGTACTGGTACTGTTACTTGTACCCTACTCTTGTTGGGTTACATTAAGTCATTATTGTACTATCTATTGCCCCACATTATACATACAGTCATTGAATATTGGTTAGTGCGTCCGGTTGGTAGCAGCCGCTTTGGCTCACACAGCTAGTAGTACTAGTAGTAGTATAGTACCAGTACAGTAGGCAAAAGCTGCGAAAAGTCATGTTTTATATTGTACTCGTATTTTACTCGTTCATATACAGCATATGACATGTAACTGTAGACCGAATAATTCTGTCCCATATAACCTTTTTTATATTTTGGTGAGGGTTATATTGGGACAGAACGGGGTTCATTGAAATTTCCCTCACCAATAAACCTCTATAACCCTCACCAAAATATAAAAAAGGTTATATGGGACAGAATTATTCGGTCTAATGTAACTGAAAACCTAAATGTCCAACGTGGGAGGCTATGTAGTATTGACATAGTTTATACTGTACTGTAAGTCTGCAGGGTGAATCACTTCAAGTGAAACTTGCGAGTTGTGTGGGGCTTGGTCACGAACGGTGAAGATATTTATGCAAAGGATTCTACGTGCGTAGGCTATGTAGTTAGTGTATCAGGATTCTTGTATAGCAATATTAGCTAGGTCACCTACAGCGGCATGAATCTGCATCCCAACATGTAAACTGTAGTTTTGGATTTGCACTAATACGACAGTAATAGCCGGTATCTGTGCTGAGTTATTTATTCGTGTGTTTATTATACTGTTTACATCATTTCACGTTGCGCCCGAGATAACTTTACAACGTGTTGAAATCGCAATTGGTGTTGGTAAGTATCAGTGGCTAAGTATATCCACAAAGAAAGTAAAATAAAATGTGAAGAAACCATATTAAGTGGAACTGTCTCGGTGACTCATGGTTTTGTGTGTGCAGCGTCGACCACGGCGACACCCCTCCTCGGGGAGAAGAAGTGTACGTGGGGCCCGGCGTACTGGTGCCAGCACCTGTGGAGTGCACGCGAGTGTGGGGCTATCGAACACTGCGCACAGAGAGTCTGGATGCTGCAAGAGACTCCCCAGCAGGAGGCCAGCGATGTACGTAGCGCCACCTTGTGGCATCTATATGCGCGTTCGGTCTAATCCGTTGAATATCATGGCGGCCGTTTATGCTCCTTTTTTTTCTTCTGGGAGATGTGTCCCTTGCCCCCTGCTGAGTAATATTGTATTTTAGATAGGTGCTTGACGCTATAAGTATAAGACCCGTTGAACTCATGTTTCATACCATTGATCATAGCAAAAGTGATGTGTAATATTTACTCACGTGTGTATTGTGTATTTGTCCGGTGGTTGTACATGAGGTGTGGTGGATGATTGCTTGTGTGTGTGTATGTGTCAGGGCCCTAGCTAGGATTTTTTTTCCTGTAGCCAAACAATTAGCCAGAATCAATTTTCATTAGCCAACTTGGATTCCTGTTAGCCACAACTGTAGCCTAACATTTTATGAACACAAAAAGGCGATAAATAATTTTTCTTTTCTTTATTTTTTTCACACTTTTATATGCATGAAGTACAAAACTACACTTATTTAATGCAAACAAACTATTATTCACCACCTGTCTATGACTGAGACACTAACACTATGATTCACCACCATGACTCTGACTGATCAACTGACAAAGACATTCAAATTGTCTGAATTTTTTTATTCATATGTAGCGTAATTATAACCTAAATTAGCTGAAAATAACCCTAGAACCTAGAGTAAACTCTCCCTTTAAACCTTGTTTACTTGAAATAACGCTGAAAATTAAAAACTGCCGGGCATTTAGGAAATCGAAGACCGTGCCCGGCAGCCGTCAGATATATGCGGGCTGCCGAACATATAGGAGTATATTACACACGCAAGCACGCACGCATGCACGCACGCACGCACGCACGCACGTGTACGTGCACATTCACGCATGCACGCATGCACGCACGTGTACGTGCAGATTCACGCACGCACGCATGCACGCACGTGTACGTGCACATTCACGCACGCACGCACGCACGCACGTGTACGTGCATATGCAGGTACGCATGCACGCACGTGTACGTGCACACGCACGCATGCACACACGCACGCACACATGCACGCACGCACGTCTACGTGCACACGCACGCACGCACGCATGCACGCATGCGTACGTGCAAATACAGGTACGCACGCGCGCACGTGTACATCCAAACGCACGCACGCGCACATACACACATGTGTACCTGCACACGCACGTACGTACGCACGCATGCACGCACGCATGCGTGCAGGTGTACGTGCACACGCACGCACGCACATCTGCATACGCACGCTCGCTCGCACGTGTACGTGCACACGCATGCACGCACGTGTACCTGCACACACACGCACGCACGTGTATGTGAACACGCATGCACTCACACACGCACGCAGGCTGACACGTGTACGTTCACACGCACGCACACGTGCACGCACGTGTAAGTGCACACGCATGCACGAACGCACGTGTACGTACACACGCACGCACGTAGTGTAACGAGCGTCACGTCTATGTGCGCACGCATGCACGCACGCACGCACGCATGCACGCACGCACGCACGTCTACGTGCACATGCACGCATGCACGCATGTGTACGTGCATATGCAGGTACGCACGCGCGCACGTGTACCTCCAAACGCACACACGTGCACACGCACACACACACGCACGCACGCATTCACGCACGCATGTGTACGTGCATATGCAGGTACGCACGCACGCACGTGTACATCCAAACGCACGCACACACGTACGCATGCACGCACGCATGCACGCACGTTTACATACACACGCACGCACGCATGCACGCACGTTTACATACGCACGCTCGCTCGCACGTGTACGTGCACACGCATGCACGCACGCACGCACGAACGTCCTCGTGCACATGCATGCACGTACGCATGTGTACCTGTACACACACGCACGTACGCACCAACTCACTCATGCACACACGTGTACCTGCACACGCACGCACGCACACACACACGCATGCACGCATGCCCGCACGTGTACGTGCACACGCACGCATGCACGCACGTGTACGTGCACACGAACGTACGGACGTGCACACGCACGCACACACACACGCACGTGTACGTGCACACGCACGCACGCAGCACGTGTACGTGCACTACATAAACAGCGCTTTCTATCAGAACATGTGGTCGTTCATCTGTAAATGTCAAGCAGCACGCTTCGCTTCTGCCAACCATGACACATAACAAATACACGTGACCTGATCTATGACGTCACGTGAAACACTCCTATATAGCCACTCTGATATTATTAACATTAAAATGTTCTGTCTTACAATAAACAAAAAGCAGGATGTTGTATCTAGACAGTCTGCAGCCCGGATCCGCGCGAAGCGCGAACAGCGCCATCTCATGGCGCCATTAGGGTCAATTC